TCTCTCTCTCTCTCTCTCTCTCTCTCCTTATAAAGAATATGGGCCATCCACACATACTCTCTATAGATGTCTGTCCTAAGCATCTTTCTTCAGTTTCGTCTGAATTTCTCTTTGCTTTTTTTGTTTTTTACTTCTGTCTTCCCTTTTCAATGGTTTCTCCTCTAGCCGAGCTCGTACCATGACGGACTACGGTGTGGAAGGTCATGGTTCGAGTCTCCAACAGGTTAACCTTGAACTTTGATTGTTTTGGGGGGTTTTCAAGTGCATTGTATGTTTCCCAGAAAGTTGAAATTTTTCAGAATGCTGTCCTGTCTGCTGGGGTAATAATAATACATATTGTAAAGCGCACTGAGCTTACTGTTGAGCGAAAATATGCACTATAAAATGCAATTTATTTATTAATACCGGTACATACTAATTATCGTGTACATGTAATGTTGCTAACCCACTTGGCTCAGTCCTTTTCCGGTCGGACTGTAAATGCAGCGGTTCCATCCTAATCATATTATAGTGAAAGGGAGGAGGAGGGGGGGGGGGGTAAACCCATACATAATACAACACCTCTACCCTATTTTATTGTCGAAAATGAGCTTTAGCTCACGTCCTCCCCACTCCTTTCAGAATAACTTGACTTATGCGCTTCCGAGATCTCCACTCACATTACGAGTCCACATACATGTAGTTCAAGTTGCCGTGACGTCATGCTAACAGGACGCTTATAACTATTCTCTACTTTCTTTAGAAAGGAGGGTCGAAAATTTATTTGTACCATTTTATAACAAATCTATAGGACCCTGTGTCAGAGGCGTGCGATCTGAGAGCTTTACTAACAATCTGGTTGTCTTTGCCTTGTCTCCGACAGCTATGGGAACTATGACACCTGTGGCCCCAGTGGCCTCTTCCGACATCTTTCAACACGAAGTCCGGTTGGGAACAAAGGGTGTGTTCAGCAGACAAGTTGCGACATGGGCAGTTTAGTAAACACCTTTTATTACAAATTTATATACAGAATCTGTGCTGTGCCGCTCTTTCCGTAC